CCATGGTATATGTGAAGGTGTCTGGTTAAAGAAAGTATTGCAATAGCTAAACCTGACTCCATGAGTGCCCATAACAATTTGGTATGATAATCAGTCAACTATCTGAATGGCAAAGAATTCAGTCCATCATGTTATGACAAAGCATGTGGAGATAGACCGGCATTTGATCAGAGAGAAGATCGAAGATAGTGTTATAAACATCATTCATGTTCTCACAGATCGACAAGTTGCTGATATACTAACCAAACCTCTTCCTAGACATGTATTTGAAAATATTATATCCAATCTAGGTTTACATAACATCTATATAAACTTAGATTGAGGGAGAAAATAGTTGTTATTCTAGAAGGAAAACAACTCTCATCTCCTTTGTCCTTTTTTGTGTACCGTAGAAAGGAGAATAACATAATTGGTAGTGTATCACCTACACCAATTCTGAATATTCCCTGACCCCACAAAATCTGGTTCTAGTACAAAAAAGTTGTTATTCATTTGTGTATAAATATACTCCTTTGGAGTTGGAAAATGCAAGCAAAAAATAGAAGAAAAACTTCCCTTAAAATAGCTTCATAATTTCTTTAAAATGTCAAGTCAAGCAACCTAGAAGAGAAAACCATACCCAACTTTATTGGATCTAGTCTAGTTCAATCTGATTTTTCAGTTTGATTTTCCAGTCTAAATCAGATTTTGAACACCCCTAACCTCCCCTCCTCATTTAAAGCATATTGTCAAGTTCATTTTTTAATTCAGATAATTGACTCGTTTGAGTTTCAAAATATTATTATAAAATGTCAACCTATCCAATCCTATCATTTCCTCCAAGATGTATTTTTTTCCTCAATGTTTTCAAACACCTCCTTATTCTATATCCATAATTTATCTTTTAAGATATCAGAGTCTTTTTAAAAATTTATATCCCCCTTAAGCCCTCCCCCTCCCCTTCACCTTCCTACCACCACTCATTTACTTTACTCACAAACTCTAGGTATTGTAACCACACATTTTCAAAGCTAAAAGGAGTAGGCCCGCTGATACACTGAGATTCAAAAATGACCGAGAAGTGATCTGATACAAGATATGATAACACTTCCTGCATCAAATCAAGAAAACAGTCCTCCAACAAGTGGAGTTCAGGAAAAAATAAATGCAAGAAGAACAAGTCCCTCTCCTATCAACTAACTATGTAAATTGTGCAATCACAAGATGGAGATCCTCAACTTACAATCTTGAACAAAATTGTTGTCTTATAATGTGCTCATAGAGGAATTAGTTAATGTTAATTAGTTGATCATACAACATCACTATCTCTTTCTTTTTCCTTAGAAGCATCCAATAGGTTTCTAAAACCGAATAGTCCTCAAGCCACAATGTGCTCATGTAAACTTTTAGAGGGTTGGAACTTTTTTTAAAAAAAAGAAAAGTAGAAAGAGTACTATTAGTACGAGCACCAAAGGTGCAAAGGAGCATGTACAATTATTTACAGTTTAGTCCTTCATTCCACTAATCTTTCTATAAGTCTCAAAATAAATCGGAGGATGACCTGTAAGCAAAATATTTGGGTATTAAGCCATCTATTCTTCAATACATCAAAATCATTAGTGACATCAAGACCCTCAAAGGTTTTACTGTTCCTAACTTTCCAAACAATCCACATAAGTGAAACTTCTTCCCTTCTCGTGAAACCCACCATCTCCGACTCACTCGAACAACCAATTGCTAAGTTTGCTTCTTCATCGACTTTCCCCAGGCTTGCCGAACTTATTATCGTCACGAGGAAATCTTTCTCTCCACCCAGTTGCAATAGCTTTCTCGAAGGTTCTTTCGCAGCTAGGGAAATTTCTTTTAGGGCATGAGCTTTCTTGAATGGATTGTATACTACCTGTCTGAATCACCATTTTAGATAAGGCCTATTAGATGGGCCAGCCTGATCCTCATCAATCGCCCATTTACCTCTTCCAGCCCAAGTGAACTTACGACCTGACTTTGGCCCAATTTTTTTATTTTCCCTTCCCTCAGAAAGGAACCAACACTTGGCTTTCCTTTAAATGACGACCTAGAACGACTTGAGATGGTGTCATTTTGCGCAAACTGTTTTGGGGCTCTCTCGCCTTGATTTGGAGAAAATGGGCATTTTGAAATTTGAACTGGTCGGGTTGAGGAGCCAGGTCGGGTGGCTTCATCTTCATCCAATTTTGGTTTTGGGGATCTGTTTGCAGAATTTCCATTAACGTCCCGCTTTTCTTTCTACCCAACCAAACAACCAACTCTGTATTACAGCATGGACATCTGTTATCAGTGAATAAAGCTTTTGGATTAGCAGTAATGGCTGGGAAATTTGCCCAATTGATCTTTGTATCCTTCTTTGTCACCCAATCCGGACGTATAAGAGTGGTCCCGCTTACCTCACGTATAGCCTCCATCATCTACCACCATCCAATTGTTGTTTCGACCTCCGAAATGAAAATATGGATACACCTACCCTTTTGATTCCTCTTCATGCGAGATAGAACAATGAAAATACCTTTCCCATTTCCGCTCAATGCCATCCACATGATATGATCTTACTGCCACGACTCCTGCCCCATGATGCGGCCCCTTTCTCCCAACAGAATAGTTTAAAGCTCTCCCTCAGTCACGCTACCTCGTCATTGTTATAGAAGATTGATTTTCAAAAGCCCCTACCATTCTCAAAAATCCTTAAACCTTGCCCTTCTGCCACCACATCAAACGACTTGCTTCCTATCATCAAAAACTTACGTTGTCCGACAACCATTCCGACTAGTGGAAACCGCTCCCTAAACAAGATAAATGACAGGCTCTGGGACTCACTGGGGCATATTTTCGCCCCAGACTAATAGATCCGGTCGGCCATGTGGCTGACCCGGACAGCGAGAGAACCCCCACGATTATGCAGACAAAGAGCAAATAGGAGAGAAAAAGGAAAAGATAGGAAAAAGGTTGTTGTTTTGAGAAGATTTAGGGAGTAGAGAAAATTTTAGAGAGAGAAAATGGCAAAACTATTGATATAAAAATGATTGCAACTGGAGGGTTGGAACTAGGTGGCTGAAAATGAAAAGTGAAGCTACAACCTTATGCAGATCCACATTAAATTTATTGTAATGTAAAAACTTCAATTGAGAAAATGGCAAAACTATTGATATAAAAATTATTGCAACTGAAGGGTTGGAAATGAAAAGTGAAGTTACAACCTTATGCAGATCCAAATTAAATTTATTGTAATGTAAAAACTTCCATGCGAGTATTTTTTGAAGAAAAACATTAAATTATTTGGACAAGTCAATCAAGCACAATTGTTCAGTCCAGACTCCATACAGCTGTGGTGACACTCTAAATCTGCAATCAAGAAATATAAAAGCTTCATACTAGGATGATGACAAAAACTTCTTAGTTGACAAATCCAACAAGAAAGAATCAACGACATCAGAACTTTTAAACTTAGGAAGAAAAAGAATTGGATGCATTGGGATTAAAGATATAAATGACAGCTTTGTATAGAATGAAATATAAATACATAGTAGATAGCAGGAATGGAGTTAAACAAATGGAGATCAAGATTGGAAAATACCTCAACATAAGGATCAGTTCAGATAAGACAGGCCCACAACATCTCTCAACATCATCAATAATTATAACAACTGGATTATCATTATTTGCTTTTTCCCTGTACCATGATGCTAAGACGGCTATATCAGCAGCCTGCCCAAAAAGTCAGATTAGGAAACAAGTAAGAACATAAGCCTTTGTTTAGAAGAGAGAACCCATTAAGTAATGGAATGGGAAGGAATAAAATGGAGGAAGGTTGACATTATTTGGATAAGTTAATAATGGAAGTGAGAGTAAAATATTTTATATTGTTGGATATGAGGTGAAAGAGAGAGTAATGTAAAATTACCAATGTGTTAAAAAAATAACCTTATTCTTTATTACAAGATATTTACTGTCATTTCCATTCCCTCCATTCTCCTCCAAATGGGAGAGAAAATTTTTGGGGCTTTGAAGTAGAATAGATATAAATTTTCCGTTCCATTTTCCTTCCATTCCATCAATGAATAGATTCAGAGATAAATATTTCACTCTGTATTTTTGTCATTCCATTCCATTTCCTCTCCCTCTCCCAAACATAGTCTAAAAGAAATTTTCACAATGAAAGGATTAAGCAGCATTCATATTTACCTCAAGTGTAACTGACAAGAGTTGTCTCATTAAACTTCTAAGACAACCACCAATCCCATGTTTGGTTGAAAAATCTGATGATGAAAGGTTAGCTACATGGCATCCTTGAGACTTCAAATGTATCCCGAGCTCTTCGAATGTCAGTAGATCATCAACAAACTCCATATTCTCTGCCAATAATTACCCAGTCAAAGATTCTTCATGAGATGGATAATAAACAGAAAACATATCACAGAGCACCTATCAACTGTATGCCACAAGTTAATGCAGTCCTTCAGTTGAGGTCAACAAATAATTAGTAAAACAGAATAATTGAAGACAATAAGAGCAGATGAGGACCCCAAACTAATTCCAGGTCCAATACACAAAACCAAAGCAAGCATGCATCATGGTAAGGTTGCGCCATGCAGCTGCTCCAACAAATACCAAATAACACCTCTAGAAAAGTTGGTGCAAAAGATGGTTTAGCCAGAAAATAATTGGTCTTATGAAATTAGAATCTAGAATATCTAAGCGATAGGATCTAGAAGAAGATAAAAGAAATAATGTCACTGACCAGAAATTTGAAGGAAAAAACAAAAGAAAGGCAGAAGGGACCACCAAACCATTGAAATCTTCATAAACATCACAAAGATTACAAAATATAAGCATCTACTCAGGGAAAAAACTTCAAACATACACAGTTTTTTTACTCAAAATGTCCTCTCATTCATAGCCAATTTTTTTTACAAACGAACTTTATCCAAAAGAAAGAGAATCTACTAAGATGACGGGATAACATGTGCTTCAACCACAAAAAAAAAAAAAAAAAAAAAAAAAAAGATCAAAGCAATATAAAGGGAAAAAGAAAGCAGAAGGGGACAAAACAGAGATTCAATCCTTTTGCAAGGTAGATAAAGGGGTTCCTTTTAAAAAACTGTAGGCTTAGTCCAAAGCAAAGCAAAGAAGATCATACTATGCCAGACCATGTGAAGTGGTTGCTCAAAAATTATTGCATTCCAATCCAACCAAACGATCCACAAACCAGCAAAATAGCCACTTTCTTGACCACTTTATGTTCCTAGGTTCTACAGATACTCCACAAGGTAGTAGTGATAAAATTTCCAACTTAGGGGAACACACCCACTCAAATAATCAAAAAAAAAAAAAACAATCTACTTCACAACTTTCTAGTAAGAACTAGCCCTATGAAGTCTCCAAAGTATACCAATCGGGATTCTGATCCAACATTATGAATCTAAAATTGTCTTCTGTCCCCTGTGCGATCATTAATCATATAAAAACGTTATAAAAATGTTAAATTCAAGGAGAACTTACTAGTAAGAACTAGCCCAGCAAATAATTGTGTAGAAGTAGCATCAATTACAATGGGGAAAGACTGAGTTGCTTCGGGAAAACTGGGTGTTCCACATGATCGAATAGTATTGAATGATTCACGAACCCAATGAAGGATTTCCGTGAAGACTTTAGCATTCATTTGCCTTAAAACATCCTGCAAGTAAGATTACAGAATCTTAATAAATGGCAGGTAATGTTTTTGAGTTCTAAATAAGCATCAATTTTTACCTTGATGATTTGATAAATTTGGTATCAAAAAACTTCTCAGTAACCATATATGTGCAAGAACGCACAAGATTGTATACAGATAAACATACACGCACATGCATATAAAAAATCTGAAAGAATAAAAGGATCAAAATATGTACCTTAATTGTTGACTCAATCTTTGACCAGACAATCTGAAAAGTCTCCTTTCGCAGTTTTACATCATAATTATCAACACATTCCTCTTCCTTCTTGCCTTCCAATTTCCCAGAAATCAAATGCACCCGTGGAGACAAATCAATTCTTCTCCTGGTTCTTGCAGTTCCAGTTGATTTTCCCTCTGACTTCTTAGATGACGCTTTGTGAAGAATGAAAAATGGCTGTGAAAATGTAAAAGGATTTTGCTGAATTAATCCATCATGACTAGCAGTCAAGGGAACCAAAAAAACAAGACAGAATATTTTTGGTGACTAGGGCAATAAAGAAAAAAACATAGCTCTTCAATATTTAAATCCATTGCCAAAATAGAAGTGCCGCCAAAATTTAGCTATCTATATAAGAATTTGTTACATTTGCAAAACAAAACAACTAAGCATGCTACTAGCACTTTCCTCTTAGTTCCTTATTGGTAGGAAATCAAGCAGGAACCTTTTACCAAAGCGCATGCTAGGAAAACAGCCAAAAGAAACAACTGCATATTAGAAACTCTACTGCCACCCTTGGACTCTAAAGAAACCTGAATATGGAACAGGGGGAAGTATAGTTCGAATAAACCTTGACCAAGTATTTTCTCTACTCTCCAAGATATCTAAGCAGTAAAATACAATTGCAGACCTACAGAGACTCAAGATGCTATGACTAAACTAAGATGAGTTAGAAAAGCATAAAAGCTTATCTTATTCATTAAGACTACGCCACCTGCTTCGAAACATGATTTCTCATGTAGGAATTCAGTATCAATATTAGAATTATAAGATTTTTGTTCGCTCCCGAAACCAGAAACATTTCTCAGGAATCAAACAAAAACAATGTGTAAAAAATTGTTTGTAGGAAAAAAAATGCCAAGGTTGTAAAGAGCATGTGAGAAAGCGAACCTGGAGATTGTTATCGGTGGTGTCAGTGGTCGAGAGAGGTGAAGAATCGGCAGTATCATTTGCCGATGGCGCCATTCACTGAGTAGATGGATTGGGCAAGCGGACGCGCCTCAAAGAAGAATCGACTGGTTGGGCTTCCCCGCGAGTAACTCAGACAGAGCAGATGCTGGAGCTTTGGTAAGGGAGTATCACGATAAATGGTGGATTTGTATTCAATCTTGGCACTGCCTCCTTAGTTACGGCAGAGCTTTGGAATGCAACCGAAGGTATTCCTCTTGCTTGAAATTTGGATTTCAGAAAATTATAGAAGGTGAATTCCACGGTGATGCTCAAGTACATCCAGCAGTCTCAGATTGATTTTGGCCGTTACCAATCTCTAGTCTTCGAGCAGAATAAGCTTCCTGATAGCGAGTTGGTAATCCACTGTGTCAAGACCTATATGGATTTGCGGTTGGTACTTCCAGGTTTGATGTTTGTCCTGGATGTTTGTTTAATCATCTGGTTGGTTTTGAGGAGTGAAAGAGGTACGAGAAAGAAGATGATTACCAGATTAGGGTTTATATTGCCACTTCTTTATCCCCTCTCTTTTTGGCGGGAAACTCTTCAGTTATCCAAGTCATTGTTAGGCGATGGGACGAAGAACTCTGACCAACATAATAAATGGTTGAATTAAAAAAAAAATTAAATCCAAATTTATTATTTAAAAGATTACATACACATATATATATCGTGTCGTTCTAATATTTTTTAAACATAAAAATAAACGAGATTATAAAACATATGAGTACATTGTTTTTCTAAAAAAAATTAAACTATATTCAAAAGATTATGGCTTACAAGAAAGTAGAAAACCTTTCCTTGGGAGGATTTCATTTTTTCTCTTCAAAGTTTGTTTAAAAGCAAACAAATTAGCAAGTAATAAAAAGTTTGAAGAATTGTTAGAAATTCTTTTTCGAAATATAAATTTCAAATTCAAGAACAAAAAATTATGGCTTAAGAGAAAATGAGAGTTGTTTGACTTGAAACATTTGAATTTTTTCAAAGTCATCATAAATGGATGTAGATGTCGTTTTATAGTTTCAAAGTAAAAACTAGTTGTTATTCACGTAAAAAAAATTATTTATTATTTTTAAAAAGTCAAAAATATATTTTAAAAATATATAATTATGTCTCAATGTGACAAAATTTTCATCGTATATTGGATTACATCATATTTTCATATCATTACGTAAAAAATATTATTCGCGATTAAGATATCATCGCATCATGTTTTTTAGACTTTTTTCGCACAACAAGAGGTTTTTTTTTCAATAATGTAATACTCAGTCCCAAAATTTAGTTCGAGATTAATTTCAGTATTTTAAAAATAAAAAAATTTAATTATAAATTAATTTTATTTAATTTTATTAAATTATTAAAAAATAGGTAGGAATGTAATTAAAAATAATATTCAAAAAAAAATATGTGAAAATTTGAATTCAGTTAGTGTTTTTGAAAAAAAATAGAAATAGGAGGATTTAAGTATAAATAGGAAAAGTTTAGTCACAGAGGATCGTCCAGTCAATAGTTCTGACGAACCGGAGCATGCTGCGTGGAAAGATCTGTTAACATTGGTGCCACACGGAAGGCCACACGGGCGATCAACGTGCCCCGTGATCGGAAGGCACAGGATCGATTCCCCGCACGTGGACAGCCCGGATTCGTTTCCCCATTAGGTGCGATTGGACGGTCAAGATTAATTGCGATGGACGATAAAGATTTGTTTCCTCCTTAGGCGCGATCGGACGGATAAGATCAATCGTGAAAGTGAAAAGCAGTATGGATATGGGTCTTCATAAGTTGTTTTTAGAAAATTTGTTACGGTAAGTATCAAACAAACGTCATTAAGTTTAAAGTTATTTAAATAAAGCAATAGCTCTATTAGTTGTTTTTATGATTTTTACCAATATTCAATATTTTGTATCTGTAATTAATGTCATATTCTTACTGGTCTAGTGTAACTCACATTTTCATTAATCATTTCATATTAAGATGACTAGTATCTAGATCCCGATCAGCAAATTGGTTGTGAGTATTGAGACATAATACAAATTAAGACCATAGTACAATCCGGTGCCTTCACCGTATCATTCGGCATCGCCACAGAGCCACCCGATTCCACCAGAGCACAATCAAATCCCTCTTATACAGAACCCAATTCCACCCATGATTGACCTAATCTACATTGAAAGGTACAAAATACTAAACTCATATACCTTTGTTGGGGCATCCTTTTTTAAATAGGTCGAGTATTGGTTTGCTGAGACAGAGAATGCTTTCATAACTCTTGGGTGGTTCACGAATAGAAGGTTGTACTTGACACCTACATACTTGTGGGATAGGAAAGTCCCTAAGCAGGCCACCTTGCTCATTCCAATCACTTGGGAATTGTTTCT